CTGACCCCTTGACTGTTGCTGGGGCTTCCTGACTTTACTAGCCCTGACTTTCCGTCCAGAGTCACCTGATTCCCAGCTCCAGACTGGTCAGTGGTCCCTAAAAGTCCTCCAAGAGGGAGCAGAGAGTGTACTGACCTAGGTAGGCATTATACAGATGAGCTGGAGGGCAGGAGGCAGACAAGTTCCAGGAGGAAGCCAGATTGGGAACCTTGGTCGAGGTTTGCCAAAGGTTGCAAAATGATACCTTATTTCTTTGGAGACTCAATTCCTTCCACTCGTGTTAAACACGGGGGGGGGGGGCCCTAACCACGACACCACAAAGAAGCCTACTTGCACTGACTTGTCACGAGCCACCATCAGGTTCACCAACTGCTCCTCCACCCTGGCACGGTCCCTCTCACGCGTAGGGGCTCGTGCATGTTTGCTGATGCAGGACATAAGTGCGTGCACGTGGGGGGTAAGGTGCTAAGCCCTTTACAACAGTCAGTCAACAAACATTTACGGGGAGCTCCCATGATGCCTGGCTCCTGTGCTCCTCGGCTGCGCCCCGGAGGCAGGGCGGTTATCGCCGCTCTTCAGAGGCGGAAACAGGAGGCCCAGGGTGTCAGCGACTTGCCCAAGGTCACCCCCCCCCCCCCGCTACAATGTTGCTGAGTTAGAGCTGAACCCGGGTCTCACTCAGGAGCGCACTTTTAACCCCGGTAGCACCAGCGCAGTGGGACTACCCTGGGGGAATCTCCGGGTTTTTCTAGATTACGCACCGGGGACGTGCCCACGCTGCGCACCCGCTGGGGGTACCGGGCGGGGGTGGGGGTGGGGGTGGGGGTGTAAAGGGGCGGGGCTCGAATCTAACAGGCAGAGGGCGGGAGGGTTGGTCCCCGCGGGCGGGCGGGGCTTATGTCTTGATTGGCAGCGAGAAGGTGCAGGCTCCAGCCGGGGAGGGGCGGAGCTGGACCGAGCTTGGGTTGGCCGAGGGGCAGGCGGGCTTGACAGACCCCTGTGGGCAGGGTCGGATCCTGGGCTCCCGGTGGGCGTGGTCTGTGCTTGACGGGCAGGACCAGGAAGGCGTTTGATAGGCAGGGGCCGGGCCCTGGAGACGGGCGGGCCAATCGGCGAGAGGGGGCGGGACCTGAGTCGGCGCCGTCCGGCCCAGGCCCCAGCGGCACTGCCCAGTCTGACTGTGGCACCGCCCGTCGCCAGACGTTTACTTGCAGCCGCTGCTACCGCCTCTGCTGGTCCGTCGCGCCCGGGGCCGCCCGCCCGCCCGCCCGCAGCCATGAGTGCTCTTGGCCCCGGTGAAACCCGCCGCTGCCCTCTCGATTAGTCGCCGTCGCCCGGGACCCGTCTGCAAGCATGGAGTCGCCTGCCCCGAGCCAGCCCGCCAGCATGCCTCAGTCCAAAGGTAGGCGCGCCCGCCGGGACAGCGACCTGAACCCCGCGCCCAAACCCAGTCGGGGAAACCCCCGACCTCTGTGGGCGCCTATCCCTTCCCGGTGCCGGGTCCTGGCAGCAACATTTCGGCTCAGAGACCCTCCCTGCTCGGGCTGAGGTCTCTGTGCCAGCCTGGAACCTCACCTGGATCCCCAGGTTAGGCCTTGGGACTGCACCCAGGCCCCGAGATCTCCCCGGCTGGACCCGAGCTAGGAATTTGTTCTTGCACACCCCATTCCAGGTCAGGAACCTCACCCTGACCTCCTCATGGAGGCCTTAGGGGTGCAGCCTGGGTAGAAATTAAGCTGTCCCCAGGTGGGATTCACTCTGATCCCCACCTGGGTCCTCTGTCTGCCAGCCTCACTGGGCTGTGGCGCTGTGTCCAGGATGGGATTGCACTCTGCTCTCTGTCTGGGCTCCAAAGGTATTCCTGTTTTTTTTGGGGGGGACCTCGTTGTGTCTCCAACACAGGTGTCCTGACTACACCCTTGTACAGAAGGCCCTGTCCTCCCCTCCCCCATCTCTCTCCATCTCTGGAGGCCCTACATTCACCCCCATCTCTGGCTGCCCTGCACCCCCCATCCTGCAGCCCTGTCTCCCCCGAACATCTCTTGGCCTCCCATCCCTCCCTAGCACAGCCCCTTCTCTGTGGGGCTCGTCCTCGACTTGAGTTGCAGCTTCTCTGTGCACTTGGGGAGCTCACCAGCTCCTGTACCTTGGTGTCTTCAGCCTGTCCCTGCTGTCTGGGACCTGGGCTGGCTGCCAGGCCAGTGTGCTGGCTGTGCGAGGGGGCTTGCTCTTTTCTTCTCCAAGGAACTGGCCTTCCTGGAAATTTTTGTGAGGTGGCTGTGGCGGCTGTGGCAGTAGCAGCAGCAGCAGCAGCAGGATTTATCACGCGGTGGGGGGGAGGACGAGACTTGGAGAGAGCAAAAGGGGGATTTTTTTTCAGGAAGAGGAAAGGATGTTTTTGGCATGTCTGAGTCTCAGTAGGCTGGGCTGTGTGAGAGGGTTCCAAACCGGACGTGTCTGTCGTGAATGGGCTGACTCCCAGCTCGCTGAACCTGCTGCTGCCTCCCCTTGGCAAGCCCCTTAATGTCTCTCTGAGCCTCAGTGTCCTTACCTGTAAACTGGACATCAAGAGTCAATGACGTGAGATTGGGAATAAACCAGAGCAGCTGTGGTGAGCTGGTGAAGAGCTCCGCATGGTGCAACGTGTGGCACATAATAGGTGCTCAGGAAGGGCTAGCTGCTGCACATCTTATTATTAACCGTGTCTCCTCCTGCAAAGCCTCAGCCACGTGGGGTCCGGGCCTTGCCTCTGGTTTGCAGCTGCAGAGGCAGCAGGAGGAAGGTCACAGAAGCACTTGGAGGCCCTCAGGGGTTGTCTCCTTTCCTCCTTCTCTCTGGAGGGGCCCAGACCTCTGGAGCCACTGGGGTCCTGGGGAGGGTGTGGGCCCTTCCTGGCCCCTGCAGCTGGCGGCTGGCTGCGGTGGCTGTGGGCTGGAGCTGGGTGGGCAGGGTAATTACGTCTTACATAAGTGGGAGGCCGGATCCCTGACCATTGCCCAACTGCTGTGAGTAACTCAGGAGGCACTCGCCGGGGGAGGTGGCTGGGGAGAAGCTCGCCCCGTGCAGATCTCGTGGATCTTGGGAACCGGGAAATCAGACGCTTCTCCGCCGCTTGGGAGAGCATGGGAAGGAGTTGGAAGCATTCTTTGTTTGGGGAGAGGCATTTCAGCTCTCCCAGGCAGTTGCGGGATTGTGAATGGATGGAGTCATGGGTGGACAGTGTTGTAGGGGGACATTGCTGGACCCCCATGTGCTGTGTGACTTGAGGATTGACCTTGCCCTCACTGGACCTCTGCAGAGAGCCGGGGTGAATCTCCAGCAGGATGATTTGTGGATTGCATGGCTGTCAGAGACCAAACCCAGGGGCCTCGTGTCCTCCCAGGGGTTTTGAGAAGGATGCGGTGGGGGAACCGTGATCTCCCTTCACCCCCAAATCCCAAGAGCTGTTACTTAACAAGCTTTTTCCATTGCCATGTGTGGGCGTGATTTATTCGTCACAACCCTGCTTACAGATAAGGAAACTGAGGCTCAGAGGCACTAAGTACCTCGGTAGGATGCATCACGGTGACGCATGGAGTTGGGGCTCCACAGGACTGTGTGTCTTGACAGGGGTCTCTCCAGCGCTTTCCCTAGGTCCCCTTCCCATGCTGGATGCTTGACTAAGCTGTGGGACACCCCCATGTCCATTGGGCATCTCCTGGAGGCCAGGCCAGACCTGGAGGATGGACTGAGGCAGACCTGGAGGCTGCCTGTCCTGTGTGCTGCTTGTCCAAGCTGACACACTGCAACCTGGCCCGTTTGACAGATGTGAAACCAAGACCTCACAGGGGATTTGACTTCACTGAATGCACAGAGCAGGGGTCCTCACCCATGCCCTCCCTGTCCCGGGCACTGGGCCCAGCACAGAGCTCTTCTCCACCTCCTCAGAGGAATTCAAACAAGGAGGGCGTGGCTGGGGCCGGACCTTCTGGGTGCCCTGCCTTTGGGCTTCCTGCCTGGCAGCAGGCACCTGCCCTGTCTTCTGTGCCAGGAGCCTGGAGAGTTCTCTGTAGGTCCCGTAGCCCTGCTGGCTCTCCCATGCCATCTGTGGCTGGCGTCAGAGGCCAAGGGCCGCTGGGGGCTGGGGCTGGCGTGCAGTTCACGTGTGGTCAGCATGACCCGAGTCTGTAGCCACCTTGGTCCTTGGGGGGGCCCCACGTGTGTGGTGTTGCTGTTCCCAGCAGGGCCTCCCTCTGTCTCCTGCCACCCTGGGAGTGCCACCCACTGGACATTTCGTGGCGTGGCTGGGTGGGTGCACAGTTCCTGGCTGCCCGGCCAGGCTGTAGGGAGCCTTGTGCTGGCCTGGCCTGGCCTGGCCCTGCCTTCTGTGGTTTCAGTCCCCCCTCCTTCTCCGGCTGTCGGAAAGACTGGAGGGTGGCACCTCTGGGACTTCCCCCACCCCTGGTGTGACGCACAGGAAACTCTCTATCAGCCAGCCCGTGGCTCAGGGCCTGAAGGGAGCAAAGTTCTCCGTGGGCCTGTGGGGAGAGGGTTGGGGCAGCTGGGCTTCCGGTGGGTGAGTCAGCAGCGCCCGGTGGTGCTGACTCACCCTGGGCATGCCAGCCAGTGGCTGCCTGCAGCACACAGGGTGGTGATGCTGGGCCTGGCCGGGGAGGAGAGGCCTGTGTGCCCGGCCCATGGGCAGCACCTGGCCCTGGGCTGAGGTGCAGGAGGTGGCCTGGCCTGGACTTTGGGCGCTGGGCCAGGACCCCTTGGTTAGGCCCTGTGTCCCATCCAGAAACTTCCTCTGGTAGGCAAACGGCTCTGCTTCCTCTTGCTCACTGAGCGGGAGCAGGTGACAGTGGCTGTTTACTGCCCTTGGCCCAAGAGACTCCCTGGGCTCAGATGTGCAGCCCGGAGCTCAGGGAGAGCAGAGGCGGTACAGGGTCAACCCAGGCGGGTCTGCCTGAGCTCGCCCGGGACAGCTGTGGAGAGGTCGGGAACTCGGATCTGGAGCCCGCCTGCCTGGGCTCGGGTCCCAAGCTGGGTCCCTTTTGCGAGGTGATGTTAGACAAGTCACATCTGGTGTATTTTCTGCACTCAAGTCAATGATTTCAGTTCCCTGGACGTGCGCAGGCCCTCTTTCAGAGGAGAAGCCTCAGTTTCCTCACCTGCAGAATGGGCACGGGGAACCCCTGCCTGTTTAGATGCAGACAGCCTCTCTCCACCGTGGCCAAGTGTCAGGTAATGGTCACAGCAGGACGGCCTTCCTCAGAAAGGCAGGAAGTGGTGGTGGGAGGGTGGAGCCTCCGCTCTGATGGAGTGGGACTGGGTTCTAATCCTGACTGGCCAGCTTCCTGTCCTGCCTCCTTGGCGAGGGACATGCCCTCTGTGACCCTCAGTGTCTAAACTGGGTAAACACCCGTCCCTGGCAGGGTGGTGGTTGAAGATCAGAGATAGTGTCTGTCCGGCAAAATGGCATCTGTTAACTGTTTTATAATTGTGATGGTTGTGACTACTGTTCATTGTCGAGTAAATCAACAGGACTTGGCGGGGGGCAGGGGGGGGCTTCTGCTCCTGCACTTGAGGGCTCAGGGACATGAAGTGTCCATGCAGTATGGTCTTTACTGCTGGCCATGATGTATCAGGCTTCAGGACTTCTTAAAACATAAGAGTCGGATGAATTCTGTGTACCTAATACCCTCTGGTCCCCAAGCCCGAGCTGGGACGAGCAGGTGGGGACCAGAGAACTGGGTGACTGGGTCTTTTTGCAGGTTTGTCCCTGCAAAAGAGATTTCAGCCAGCTGCTGGGCCCCTCTGAGATTCAGACACCAGATCTAGGTCCCCTCCAGTCCAGGGTGGGTCCTTAGGTTCCTACCATCAGTCCCAGGTACGGACAGGTCCCCGGATCCCAGTCCCCATCACACTCCCCCTTCCCTGTGGATTCCTCTCTGGGATGTCACAGCTAAGCTGGTGTCCCACGTCCTGCCCTGGCTTCTCTGCGAAGGCTGCGTCCAGCTGCCCCTTTGTCCACCAGTCCCCTGCCCTGGGTGGCTTGGCCAGACCCTCCTGCCATGAATGGGCCCGTGGTCAGGCCTGTCCCCTGCTCTGTGACCCTCCTTATGATGTTCGGTCCCAGCAGCTTTTTTTTTAAAAAAAAATTGTAAATGTATCCACAGATACCAAAAGGATACAAAGAATGCACCTCTGTATTTAAAAAAAAAAAAATAAGAGTCGGATGAATTCTGTGTACATAATACCCAGCTAAAGGAATCCAACTCGACCCGGATCCCAACCCCTGTGCATTCTGTTTCCCTTCCTTCTCCCTCAATAGCTGTCTAGCTTTTATGTTAATCATTGTTTACTTTTCTTTGTTATTTTTAAAAGTTGAATTTTTTTTTTTTTTTAATACTGGGGATTGAATCCAGTGGAACTTTACCACTGAGCCACGTCCCCAGTCCAGGTGTGAAGCGACAGGCACGCTCCTTGGGGCAGGGCTGAGAAGGGCCTTGGAGGTCAGTGCAGGAGTTGGGGGCACAAGCTGGTGGGGAGCAAGGAGCGTTGCTGGCACCCTGTTGATGGTGGTGTGACGGAGGCCTGTCGGGACAGCTGTGGCACAGAACCGGGGATGCCCTCCACCCTCCTCATTCTTCTCTGTGACTGGGCCTTCTGGTAGACCCCAGAGCAGGCTTCTGCTAGCATGGCCTCCCCAACCCCACTCACCTGCAGCAACTTCCAACACAGCAGGGCTGGTCCCAGGCCTGGCTCTGCCCCAACCTGCCCTGTGACCTCCCCAGCCTGTTTCCTCTTCTGAATGAAAGGGATGAGGAACAGCCACCCCGCAGCAGGACTGCTGACGACGGTGAGAAGCAATGAGACCTGTCCAATCCAGGGACACCGTGGTTGCTGGTCAGTGCTGAATTTGAATTTGAGCCACGTAGAGTGTTTTTTTTTTTTCCAACCAAGAACACCTTTCCCCAATGCACTGATTTTGCTCTTTAGTGATGGTGACAATAAAAGCCAAGAGGACACTGGTCAAGACGAGGTGCCTTTGCTCAGTCATTCTGCAGAAGGGGCAGCATGGGGCTGCCCTTGGGGTGGCCTGGCTGATCTCATACCCCCCAGGTTGAGGCCTCTGGGAGCACAGCCCAGAGCTGGAGCTGGAGGGAGTGCCCCTCTCACCTGGAAGCCCTTGTTTCCAGTCATGGCCTCTTGAGGCCTGGTGCATGGGGCCCATTGTGCACCAGGGCTCCAGGTCAGAGTGACCACTGACCTGAGCTGTTTGTGCAGGCATTTTATGTGCACGGTCTCATTCTGCTCTCGTGGTTACCCAATGATGTGTCCTGTTGTTATCATCCCCATTTTATGAATGAGTAAATCGAGGCCTGGGGTTGGGGACTGACTTGCCCAAAGTCACAGAGGTCCGTCTTGGGAGCAGGGACTTATCCTAACAACCTTTTACCCTTGCTGGCCCTCTCTTAGAGGTCACGGTCATTGCACACCCACACCCAGAGGCAGGAAACGAGACTCAGAGAGGGAGTTTGACTTGTTCTTGGTGTCCCCGCAGCCAGGTTTCCTGGTACCACTCCTTGTCACTTGGCCTCTGCCAGAGTGGTTTGGGGCAGATGACGTGGCTACTCAGTCGTGGTCCGGGGAAGGCAGGGGCTCAGGCCTGGCTCGGTTGCTGCCCTGGTGTGTCACATCAGCTGAGTCTCAGAGACACTGACTGCAGTTCTGAGCAGCCTGCTGCTCGGTGCCCCGGTCATGCAAGGTGAGCCCAGTTGTCCCCTTAAGATGGCGAGGACCCCAGAGCCCAGACTCCATCAGCACCAGGACCCAGACTTAACCAGGCCTCTTTCTTTCTTATTAATTTTATTGAAATTCCTTACGCTTAGTAGCTGAAGCTGTGCACAGAAATCTCAAAGGAATAAGAAGAACATTTCTTGCATTTTCTTCCTGTCTTCCACAAACTGCTCTTGGCTGTCGGTGCTTACCGTGTCGGGGAGATGGGCTGCCAGGCTTTTGATTTCATAAACCCCTGGCCTCAGTTTCTTCATCTACAAGATGGAGATCATATTAGTTCCTGCCTCCCAGGGTGGCTGAGAGGGGCTCAGATGAGATGTAATGCAGATGGTGCAGTGCTCAGCCTGTGCGGCTGTATCAACAGCTCTAGCGGTCCTCACCTGCAGGGCTGGGCTTACGTTAGTAGCTTTAGATGCTTGTCCTGAGGAGTGTGTGATCAGCAGGTGTGGACTGACAGACCAGGCTCTCTGGGACAGGGCTGTGAAGGGTCTTGGATGTCGGTACAGGAGTTTGGGCATGATCAGGAGGTAAGTGAGGAGCATTGCTGGCACTCAGTGAATGACCCAGGCCTGGCATGTGGTTGGTGCTTACTAAATGTTAGTGGAAGTTAGAGGAGTGTGGGGGTGGGTTGCTGGAGGGTGCAGTTTTTGGGTCAAGGGTAAGAGACAACACTGTGCACATCTCCGACTAGAGAACCCCTTGGCTGCGGTAGGGCTTGTGTGTGTGATGTGGGTTGTTGGGCAGCGTCCCTGACCTCTGCCTTGCTGGACGCCAGTCTTAAACCTTCCCCCTGCCGGGATGGTCGAGAGTGTCCTCAGACACTGCTGCATGTGCCCAGGTTGGAGCAGGATTCGGGGTGGGGGTGGACCTGGGTGTGGAGGACAGTGGATGCTGTAAGATGGGCCATGGGAACCCCCAGCCTGCACTCTGCAGAGTGGAAGGTGAGGGGGGGGGGGGGGAGGTACCCGGGGGGGGGGGGGGGGGGGGGGGCTGGAGCCTGGTCAGGTGGCCACATGCAGCTGGGCAGTGAGTGGTCGGAGCATGCCCTGAAGTGGCTCCCTTACAGCCCTACTTGTTTCTCACCTGTGAAGCAGGAACACAGACAGTGCTGGTGGCGTGGAGTGGCTGTGAGGCTGGATGGGGCGGGCCTGGGAGTGGCATGTAGTAGGTGCTCAGTAAATGAAACACCCTTCCTTCAGCCCCTGGATTTCTCTCCAAAGCCCCAGGACAGGGTCTCTGGGACCTTGGGGACAGAGGAGCACATATCAGGTCTGTCCTTGCTCTCTGTGAATGCTTGGCAGTTTGGGCTCCCAAAAGCTCTTGGGGGGCTTCTCTGAGAGCATCTGGGACACTAGGGAGAACGTCAGGTATTCAGCTCCGGCTTTGGTTCATTGCAGCCAATGAACATCAGCTATTGAGGTGAGGCTCTTCCCTCTGTGCAGTTGTGGGTCAGTCTGGTCAGGTCTCTCTACAACCCTGCGAGATGGGAGTAGCCAGCTGAATTGGGTGGGGATGGGACCTCTGGCCACCTACGTCTCAGCAGCCACATCGGTTCCTTACCCCATAGGAAGGAACTATGCTGGGGTGGTCAGGGGAGCCTCTGAGTAGGCGACTGGCAGGGCCGGGTCCCAGCTTGGATGGCGTTGCAGGGAAAGGCATTCGAGACAGTGGGAATGGCATAGGCAAAGGCCCTGAGGTGGGAAAGAAGGTGTCTTCCTCAAGGCATGGTGCGTGCACAGTGAGTGAGGGGTGGATGGGAGGGGACAGGGCAGGAGTTTTGTCGGTACCTTTGTTGCAGCGGGGTGGCGACTTCAGACCATTCTCGGACTTCCACCCAGCCTAACTTCCTCACTTCCTGCCTAGGGGCTGCTGTGGGTCCAGAGTGACCTGAGGACACGCGGCTGGCCGCCTGGCACTAGGCTCGCCCGCACCAGGGCCCCTGCGAGCTGGATGCTGGCGGGCTTGTTGTGGATTGCCCTGGCAGCCCCAGAGCCTCTGTTTGTTGTGGTGACGGTCGCTACCTTGAGCCACACCTGGGTAGCCCCGGGCTGCCTGGCCATCTGGCCCGGCCCTGACATTGGTAGCAGATAGTGGCATCCACCGGTGGCCCGAGGCCTGTTTCTGGGCTGTCTCCGTGGTGGCCTCGCCCACTCCGACAGCTGGTGTGGCTGCCCTGTGGAGCCCAGGTCACTCCTGACGCAGGCCTTTATCCCTTCAGGGCAGGTGGCAAGGCCAGGCTGTGTGCTGCCAGCCCCGGGGGGAAGGGGGGGTTGGCCTCACCACGCAGCCCAGCTACTGGTGTGGACATGCCCTTGACGAATGGGGAAACTGAGGCCTGGCAAGAGGGCCATCCTATGACCTCTCACACCCACAGGGTCCCCCAACTTCTGCGCAGGGTAGGTGGGTGGCATTTCTGCCATTTTCTATTTTGCAGATAATAGGTTCCTGAGGTTCCGAGTCTGTGTCTCGGGGTCACCACTAGCTGCAAAGACTTGCTGTGTCGGCCACCTTCCAGCTGCTGCAGTGTCACCCTCAGCCCCGGCCCGGGTCATCCCCCGGAGCCCACACGGTGACTTTGATCCAGAGGCAGGGGAGAGGGTCTCTCTCTCAGGAGCTGGTGGTCCCACACGCCTTGTTTTTTTTCTCTATTTATTTTTTTTTCTTGTCATGTAGACTATGCCAGACCTGGGGAGGTCCTGGGTGGCCCCTGGGTCCCCAGGCCAGTTTGTTGTTTCCTGCAGAGCATGAGAGCCTAGGCCTGTCTCTCCACGGAGGTGCATCAGGGCCACCTGGGCGGTTGGGCCTGGCCTGTGGGAGTCGGCCAATCAGCCACCTCCTGTGTTGCTCCCAGCTGGGCTCCACCTACGTGGCTCTGTGGCATGGTTGAGACTGGATCCGAACATGGCTCAGAGGAGGCTTAAGGGACAAGGGTCTCCTTGGCAGGTGGTGGCAGGACCTTGGGCATTTCCCAGGCCCCTGTGGTCATGGCTATGGGGTGGTACGTGAGGACACAAAGGGCCGGTGGGTGGGCAGAGAAGTGGGCAGAAGCTCTTCCGAGGGGCAGGCCTGTGGCTGGCACATCTCTGCTCTGTGGCCGGGGTTCAGTCCCAGCTCTGCCACCCAGGAGATCCTTGGTGCCCTGAGCAAGTTACTTCTCTGCTCAGAAAACTGCAGCCTGACCTCAGGGCTCTTGGGAACAGCTGGCAGGCTCCCCAGCTGCCCGGGTCCTTGCTTTTTCCTGCTGATCAGATGACGGCTGTGCCGTGTTCAAAGGGCAGACTCAGGAGTGCTCCCGTGTGCGCCAGCCCAGTCGTGCCCTGCCCCCTCCATAAATGTAGATCCTTCTTGAGTGCCAACCCCGTGCCGGGCAGGTATGGACACAGGGCCCTCTTGCCTGTCCCCAGGGATTGGCCTGCCTGGGGAGGAGGGGGTGAGGGCCTCTCAGGTTGCCTTGGGAAGGGCATTGAAGGCAGGAACTTCATGGTGGTGGGAGTGCTCCAGAGGCCCCCCAGCCCCACTGCCCAGAGCTCACCCTGTCTACAAGCCCTCACCTCATGGGTGGGAAACTGAGGCACGTGGACAGCACCATGTTCCAGGAAACACCAGGCCGCGGAGCCGGCAGCCCTGGCCACACGTGCTGGGCCTCAGTCTCCTGATCGGAGCAGTGGGGCCGCATGGGCCTCTGGGGCAGGTGGGGTCCTGGGAGGAAGGAAGGAAGTCCCTGCCTGTCTGGGCTGCAGGCCGGTGTCTTAGTCTCTCCCTGTAAGAGGCCTTTCTGGGGTCAGTGCCCCTGCTGCAGAGGGGACAGGCTGAGGTTTCGAGAGGCAGGGGGGTCCAGGCCAGCAGGTGGGAGTTGAGCCCAGGTGTGGCCCTTTTGACCTGGGGGGAGAGCCCTGGGCTGGGATGCCTGTGCTGCCCACCAGGCCTAAGCCCAGGGCTTGCTGTCCCCACCAAGGACTCCCCAGCCTGCACCTGCCCCAGCTCTCTGAGGTGGGTGTCTGCACAGAGGAGTGGAGCCAGGGCCCCGGATGGAGCTGGGCTTGCCTCCGACACCCCCGTCAAGGTCGGAGGGGGAGCCGTGAGGGAGACTGCAGGGAAGCACCCTGGACTGGGCGGCTTGTGCCTTGTGCCACAGGGAGTTGCCTTCTCTCTCACCGTCCGGGCTGCAGTGGAGGTGGAGGCTGGGCTGGCTGCAGGGCAGAGATCCACCAGGCCTCTCCTCGGCTTGTTGGTGGCCGTCTCCCCTCTGCGTCTCTCCTTCACCTCCCCTTCCCTGTCTGCCTTTCTCCGATGTCCCAGTTTTCCCCTTTTATAAGGACACCAGTCAGACTGGATTGGGGCCCACCCTAGTGACCTCATTTTCATTTAATTACCTCTGTAAAGAACTTATCTCCAAATAAGGCCACATTCCAAGGTCCTGGGGTTAAGATTTCAACATGTGAATTTTTTTTTTTTTTTAAGAGACCCAGTTCAAAACCCCATAACAGAAGCTCAAGGCCTAGGTCTTGTGCAGGGTCAGGAGGGCTGGAGCCTGGCAAAACCTCAGCTGGTCAGCCCTGGCCTGGATCACCGAGGCTCTGTCCCTGGCTGGGCTGCCCAAGCCTCCTCTCCATCCCCATCCCCCAGCCGAATATGGGAACATGTGTGGCCTCCCAGGTGGACAGTGGGATCAGGCGGCTCTGATGGTGATGGTCATGGCTGTGGCATAGCTTCTAGGAGGGTAGGGTGGGGCTTGGGCTCTTTCAGTGAGCCCCATTCCGGTGCTAGGTGCTGCTCCCTTCTTTCTCGGCCAGGGCAGTAGACGGAGCCTTGTCCCCCCCCCCCCCCCCCGCCCACCCCATGGCACTGACTACAATGGGCAACTCTCCGTCTGAGACGGGCAGGACCTGAGTTATCTCTGTCCCCCGTTTCGTCCAGCGCAGGGGGAAAACATCGATGGGCCGAGTAACCAGACATCTCACCTTTTCTTCCTTTTAGGAAAATCCAAGAGAAGGAAGGACTTGCGGATATCCTGTATGACTAAGCCCGCTGTGCCCAACCCCACGTGAGTCGGCCTCGGTTGACCACCCTGGATCACCCTGCTCCCTGCCTGAGGGGGGGCCCAGTGGGCGGAGTCAGCAGGGAGAGGGGCTGGGTAGCACCTGGCCAGGTGGGCAGCTGTGGGCTCATAAGCATTGCCATCTGTTTGATGTCCCCCGCCCCACGCCCCATGCCTAGCCCCTAGTGGATGTTCAGCAACTGATGAAAGGAAGTCCCTCGAGTCACCTCCAAAGGCCAGGCCACCTGCCTTTTCCTTCTCTTGGAGAACTCTCTGGTTCTCCCCAAGCTCACAGAGTTGGCTCTCTCCACAGACCCCCCCGGAACCTGGACTCCCGGACCTTCATTACCATTGGAGACAGAGTAGGTGCTGGCTGGACCCTGGGTGGGGGTCCCCGACTTCATCTGACAAGGGGCTGCACGGACTGTGCAGGGCCTCTGGTGGCAGACACCTGGGCACTTTGCTCCCTGTGGATCTGGGCCACCTGCTTCCTGACCTTCCTTCTAGAATAGGGATCATTGCATCCTTGGGAGGTTGCGGGGAGCTCAGAGCTGCATTGCTCTTTGACCTCAGACAGAGGGCGGGGAGCCCTCCACCCCTGCATCACCTGCGAATAGCATGTCGACACAGATGGCTGGGCCTCCCAGGTCTCCGGGTCAGACCCTGAAGTCTGCACCCTGTGCACGTCTGGTCCCTGAGGAGGACACCAGCCACTGAGAAGCCTGGCTCTGACCGGGCAGCGCTCACAGCACGTGCCAGGCGGCCCCTGCACACAGCCCTCTCCGCTGAGCTGGTCTTGCCTCCTGGGCTGGTCTTGCCTCCCAGTGTCTCACCCTCTGATGTCCTGCTCATCTGCTGGCTCATTCCTGTGTCGCGGGGTGTCTCCCAGCAGAGGGAACCCTTGGGAGGGTCAGGTCTTTGGTTTGTTCTGAGTCCCTGGTTCTAAAATAGGAGCCTGGTATGTAGTAAGTGCTGGTAAATAGAAGTTGGGTGAATGATCCATCTACCAGGGTGGAGTGTGAAAGAGAGAGAGTGGCTCTCTCATGAGGTCCCTTGGACCTCGGTGCTTCATCTGTTCAATAGAGGCCAGTATGAGGCTCAGACTGGTCAAGTGACCTGCCCACGGCCACCCATCAGGGAGATCTGAATAACTTGTCATGTTCTCTTTTCGCTGAGTGAGGGATAAGGACCAACCCCCACCAACCCCATGTCTTTTGTGTTCCCCCAAGAACTTCGAAGTGGAGGCTGATGACCTAGTGACCATCTCAGAGCTGGGCCGTGGAGCCTACGGGGTGGTGGAGAAGGTGCGGCATGCCCAGAGTGGTACCATCATGGCAGTGAAGGTGAGCAGGGCCCCGTTCTGCCCCAGCCTGCCCTGCCGGGGGGGGGGGCAATGGCCTGGCCTGAAGGTGGCTGGGGACCACCTCGGGGGGACTGAGCCTGCAGGGTGGCTTCCTGCTCTATGGTTTGTCCCTCACTGCGACCAGCGATGAGGCAGAGCTTTGTAGGGTGGACTAGGCTGTGGGTCCCCAGAACTCCTGGCCCCATGTAATGGGTAAGGGGTGCCTGCCTCTGCCACCGTGGCCCCTGAACCACAGCTCTCCCCCTGCAGCGGATCCGGGCCACCGTGAACTCGCAGGAGCAGAAGCGGCTGCTCATGGACCTGGACATCAACATGCGGACAGTCGACTGCTTCTACACCGTCACCTTCTATGGGGCCCTCTTCAGAGAGGTGAGCGAAGGGATGTTCCCTGCCACCAACTCATCTCTTGGCCAGTGACCCACCGTCAGTCAGTCCCCTCCTGTGTGCAGGTGCTGGGGACTCAGGGAGACATGGGAGAGCCAAACCCAGTCCCTCCCTATCCACCTGAGGTCACCGGCCCTAGAGCCAGACCGCCCGTCTCCCCTGCTCTCTAGCTGTGACCTCGCTGCTCTGTGCCTTGGTTTCCTTGAGGCTAGCGACTGTGTGGTCATGAAGGTCCAGTGGTTGTGGCTAGGGCGTTGGCTGGCACTCGATGAGTGCTGCGGTTTGTCCGGGTTGCCATCTGCCTTCCTGGCGACGGTGCCTGGGGAGCCGTGGGCCCGAGGCAGGTAGAGTCCATCCAGGTGCGGGCTTGTGGGTTGGACTCCGGGTTATCAGCCGGGAGGAGGGGAGATAAGGGTGAGGCCGGGATGCAGGACCCATGGAGCTGGATGGGTGGCGCCGTCAGCCTGAGCCAGGAGTGAGGTGCTGACATAATCGAGGAGGGAGAACGGGAGCTGCTTTGGATGGAAGGGCGTCGTGGTGGTGTCTTGCCATCTTTGTGACACTGTTGAGTGGCTCTGTCCCCTGCTCCTGCATCCCAGCGGGGAGCCGAGCTTTCCTCACCACTCATCCTTCTTGGAACCAGGCCTCAGCAGACAGGGAGGCCCTGGGGTTGGAAGGGTATGCGGGGTGTGCCGGGAAGAGGGACGAGGTCATCGCAGGCAGGGGCAGAGTTGGCACAAGGGAGCCTCCACATCCTAATGCTCTCTTGGAGAGGGATACCATCAGCCTGGTGAGGTCATTCCTCTTCCCGGGACATGCCATGGAGTCAGGGGTCAGGTGCAGGAGGCCCAGGCAACAGAGCCCGTGGCTGGAGGTGGGCGTGTGGACTGGCAGGGCTGGGGGGCCGAGGGAAGAGGAGAGGGAGAGGCAAGAGAAATGGATAGGCAGGATGGGAGGGGCCAGGAGCTGCTGCGGGAACAGCCGAGGGCCCGTGGGTGGGCACGTGTCCCTTCTGTCCCCGCCATCCCGTCTCAGGTGGAGACCGGGGCTGGCACTCAGTAGGCTGTCTGTGTGAGGTGGGGCCCGGGAAGGTGAGATGGGCACGGGCTTCCCTGATGGCTCTGCTCATGTCTGGTGTCTCTCCTGCAGGGAGATGTGTGGATCTGCATGGAGCTGATGGACACGTCCCTAGACAAGTTCTACCGGAAGGTGCTAGAGAAAAACATGACCATTCCAGAGGACATTCTGGGGGAGATCGCTGTGTCTGTAAGTGTCCCGGGCCTGGTGGGCCGGATCCACAGCAGAGGCCCAGACCCTGCTTATCAGGCACACGGCCCCACTGATAACTATCTTGAGTGACTGCTGGGTTTGGGCATCCCAGCAGCCAAAGGAAAAAGGGAAATGGGATCAGGACTCTCAATGTGACTCTCAATCCTGGCAGCATCTGGAAATATTTAAAATGTGCCCAGGTCTCAGGCTCCCCCCACCCCCCACCACCATCCCCCAGGGAGATGGCTCTGCCCGGGGAGGGAGAGGAGCCGGGGAGCCTGGTAGGCCATGGTGGTGGCCCCTTGGGAGATGCAGCTTGGATCTGCAGGGGTCTCTGGCGGTTCATGTCAGCGTTGGTGAGTGGGAGGAAGGCAGGAGCCCGGCATGCCTGCACCGAGATAGCTGGGGCCCATGTTGGGCTGTGGGCAGGCGCCTACGTGACGAGGGCCGTGTCCCCTGTGGAGGTGGGTGTGTCATGGTGGATGCAGCCTGGAATTACAGCCGTCCTGTCTGTCTCCCTCTTATTCCCATCCAGATCGTGCGGGCCCTGGAGCACCTGCACAGCAAGCTGTCTGTGATCCACAGAGGTCAGTGTCCCCACCCTGCAACCCGAGGCCGAGCAGACTGAGGCTCGGGGGGGTGGGGGTAGATCGTGATGGGGTCCCGTGGGGTCCAGCCTGCCTTTACCCACTTCCTCTCGTGTCTGCTGGTGTTTGGAGCAAGAACTGGACTTACTTTTGTCCTGGCCAAGGCTGGCTGGTTCTGGTTTTGATGTACGATTTCCACACGTGAAATGCCCAGCCCTTGAGTCTGAATCCAGTCCACGACCTGAGGATTCTTCCCTCAGCGGTGGCTGGGACCTGGGGTGGCACCTCTTGCCGCCTCAGTTCCCTTGCCTGATCGTTGGGGCCCTGGTACACGCGGCTGCCCACTGGGTCACGCCATGGGAGCCGGGAGAGGCCATGGGCAGACAAGGGCTGAGAATGGTGTGTCCCCCACTGGGCAGATGTGAAGCCGTCCAACGTCCTCATCAACAAGGAGGGCCACGTGAAGATGTGTGACTTTGGCATCAGCGGCTACTTGGTGGACTCGGTGGCTAAGACGATGGACGCTGGCTGCAAGCCCTACATGGCCGTGAGTGAGGCCGGGCCCGCCCCAGGCTGGGGGAGGACAGGGCTGGGGCGGGGAGCTGCCTCATCCATTGGGACAGGGTCTCCCCGGACTCTGTGTTTCCTGCCACAGAGCGCACCCTCTTTACCCACGTCGTTCCCTGCGCCCCAGGTTGCTCCACCTGGGTAAGTCGTGTGGTCTCGGCTGTGCTGCCCTGTCCTCATGGACAGTCAGTAAGACGGCGCCCCTCTGGCCCTCGCTGCAGCTGGGGTTGGCTGTGAGGCAGGGGTTAGACCCTGACTCTTTCTGGCCTCAGTTTCCTCCTCTGTCAGATGGACAGGCAGGGACACAATGCCCACTCAGTTTTGGGGTCGGGGAGGCAAGGCCTAACTGAAGGGAGTGTTGGGTGGTCCCCATGGCGTGGCCATTCATCTCTCTCTGATTCCCTTCACAGCCTGAGAGAATCAACCCCGAGCTCAACCAGAAGGGCTACAACGTCAAGTCCGATGTTTGGAGTCTCGGCATCACCATGGTAGGGCCTGGGGCTGGGTCCAGCTCTTACTGGTCGGGTGCGGGCAGCTGGGTTGGGGCTGGGCCTGGGGCCATGGGACCCCCTGGGGGGGGTCTGTCACATAGTTTAGGTCATAGAAAAGAGTGTTGGCTTCAAAATCTAGGAAGAAAATGTGTCACGCAAAACTCCTGTCTAGGAATGACATTATCCGTTCCCTGATGTTTGGGTTTACCCATCACGAATGCCCTCCGTGTTCTGTGATGTGATGTCAGCCCCCCTGGACTGGCCCGCAGAACTCCTGGTGCATGTTGGGAAATCCCACCCGATCCCAAAGAGAGCTCTTGCTGTGCAAATCATCTCCAAAGCAAGATGGCAAAAGTCATTGCAGATATTTGTATTGCCTGTGGGGTCCCGGTGCTTCTCGCTGGGCTTGGGGGTGTGGGGTTGGTGAGGCATCTGGATCCTGAGCCTGGGAAGACTGAAAGGACCCTTGGCTTTGGTGACTGGGGACAGCTGTCCCGCCCTTCAGGACTAAGCTTGGGGTAGGGTGCCTCCGAGCTCTAGATATAGGGACGGGCCTCTTGTTCCTTCTAGAATGCCTGGCAGAATCCCCGCCCTTCACAAGGGAGAGGGAAGGTCAAGCTTATTTATTTATACTTTGCAGTCAGGCTGCTTTAGAGGGCTCACCGTGGCTGGGTGTGGCGGTGTGTTCCTGCAAATCCCAGCAACTTGGGAGGATTGCAAGTTGGCGAGACCCTGTCTCAAAAGTAAAAAGAGGAGGGGGGATGTAGCTCAGGGGTAGAGGGCCCCTGGGTTCCATCTCCGTCACTGGGGGCCGGGGAGGGGAAGGCTCACCGTGATGCCCATGTGGAGAATGCATTGGAGGGATAGGAAAATGACTAGGCTGTACCCCCCCCTGTTCTGGGTAGATGTGCAGGAGACCAGGACCTGGGGAAGAGTGTCGCTGTCACAGTGGCTCTGGTGTGTTTGGGTTGGTCCAGCTGATGTGGCCAACTAGAGTGGCCTTTAGTCCCTTCTCTCCATCCTAGCCATCGGGACTGATGCAGTATGGCCTTGGGTCAACACCCTCCCTTTCTGAGAGAACGTGGCCCAAGGAAGTTTCTGGCGACCCTTGCCTCTTTGGCTAGTTGTTTGTTGGGGGCATGGGACAGTAAGAATTAGTCAACTCCATCTTTGGTGTGGAGATGGGTTGGCGTGCCCTCCAGGATTCTCTAGACCCCCCGACAGGTTACCTGCAGTTCGATTCTGACAGTATCTACCTGAAGTTCATGCAGACCCCACAAACTAAGAGCTCCGGCCCACCAGACTGCCAGTTAGACTATCGCTGACCCACCTGCTGTTACCTGGGGATTCCCATACCCCTCTTCTTTTTTTTTTTTTTATATTTATTTTTTAGTTCAATTGACACAATACTTCTATTTTATTTATTTATTTTTATGTGGTGCCGAGGATCGAACCCAGGGCCTCGCACATGCTAGGTGAGCACTCTACCTCTGAGCTACAACCCCAGCCCCCCCATACCCCTCTTCGAAGGTGTGATCATTTGCCAGATCAGTTCACGGAACTCAAGAAAAGACTTTGCTGTTTGCCACGTGTGGTGGTGCCCACCTGTAATCCCAGCAACTCAGGAAGCTGAGGCAGGAGGATCGCACGTTCAAGACCAGTCTTGGCAGTTTAACAAGGCCCTCAGCCACTTAGCCAAGACCCTGTCTCTACATTAAAAATAAAAAGGGGCCGGGCATGGGGGCACGTGCCCGTAATCCCAGAAGTTTAGGAGGCTGAGGCAGGAGGATTGTGAGTTCAAAGCCAGCCTCAGCAACTTAGCAAGGCACTGAGCAACTCGGTGAGACCCTGTCTCTAAATAAAATATTAAAAAAAGGGCTGAGAGTGTGACTCCGTGGTTAAGCTCCCCTGGGTTCAATCCTCAGCACCAAAGTAAATAAATAAATAAATAAATAGGACGGGAGACGTAACTCAGTGTAAAGAGCCTCTGAGTTCAATTCCCAGAACCAAGGGAAAAAGACTTTACTGTGTTTGATGGTTCATCATAAAGGACACAACTCACCAAGGAACAGCCAGATGGGAGAGGTCCACAGGGCCAGCGTGTGAAGTGGGAGGCCACCTCCGAGCTCCACCTACGTGCTCACCAACCCCAGATTCACGGAGGGTTTTTCATAGAGCCTCACCTCCAGCCTCCACCTGCCCCTTCCAGGTGGGGCTGGTTCGGTCACTTGGTCTTTCTGGTGACCAGGCCAGCCTCTATCAGGCAGCTCTGCTACACTGGCACTGGCTGGCTGGGCTGGAAGGTCCATGGGGGCTCCTTGCTGTGGCTGCTCTCCGTGGCTTCCGCCCAGCCTGGCTGTCTGTAGTTGGGATTCTTTCATGGTAGCTGGCTCCTGAGGGGCCAGTACTGGGCCTTTCCCTGCCTCCTCACATTGGTCAGAGGAGCTGTGAGCCCAGCCTAGGTTTCAGGTGAGGGAACAAGCGCTCTGCCCGATGGGAAGGTGCCAGTCCCCAGGGAGAAGTGGGGCGGCCACTCTGGAGACGAGCTGCCCCGGTACGGGGTAGGTTCATCTTCTACAAGTTTCCAAAGTAATAGAAACCCAGAATAAAAAACCGGAAAAAGGGGTAAGGATGACTGTACTCTTTCCCCACCGCCAACTGCCAGTGTTGTACATTTCCTTCTAGAATTTTGTGTGCCTTCTTTAAAAAAAAAAAAAAAAATGAGGACTGGGATGTAACTCAGTGGTAGAGTGTTGGCCCAGCGTGCATGAGGCCCTGGGTTCTGTCCCCAGCAACACACATACCTCCCTTCCGATACTTTTAATTCTGTTGTTTTTCAGTTGACGTTACCTCTGGTTTATATTCTTCTGAATTGTTATAAACCCTTGTAGGCATCTCTTCCAAAGACCCCCACAACCATTTACTGGACCTAAGGCAGGATATCTCCCTGGTTTCCACTGGAAATCCTCAGTCTCCCCGGGGAGCCACTGTGTGGCAGTGAGAAACGTCCCTCTAGGTGGGCTGTGGCATCAGGAGCTCTCTGGGGCATCCACTTGTGCCCACCTCCTGCACACACCATGTCACATAAAGGGGAATCACGCTGAACAGACATGGGCACACTCAGGAAGAATTGGCCAAGTGCTTGACCAGGTTGGTGTGTCACGGGGGCCTCCCGGCCTGCTGCCTGTAGGGGAAGGACCGCTGGCCATACACACAGGCTTTTTCTAAATATTTCAGCAGGTGACACTGTAGCCTGCATCTTTGGGCCAAAGGCAGTTTTTTAGTTTGCATTTCTTGAGGTCTTTCGAAGGAAGATTATGGGGTCAAGGCTTCGTACACGTTTTCATTTTTCGGACTATAATCTGTAGTAGCCATTGGTCTTCCTTTTTCAGCTCATAGAGGGGCCTGACTTCTGCACACTGGAATCTGTGAATATTTAAGGAAAAAGTGCCCTGAGTCTGTGTGGGGTTTGTGGAGGACAGGCACATGCACGCAGGGTCATCCCCACTGCCGCTGCATCCGAGGACGTTTATGACTTGGGTAGAAGGGGCCTGTGGCCTAATGGAAGGGCCCTTTCTCAGCACAGTAATTAGTGCTCTGTTTGGGAGCCAGTTGCCAACACAAGGCATTTGTTGGAGCTGAGGTTTCTTCTGTTCATTATGGTGATTACGGACCTTGTGCTGGAACCGTGGCAGGGTCCCAGGGTGACCTGATTTGTGTTTTTAGCCTAGCAGTCAAAACCAGAACCCCAAATTTGTCGTAGGCTAGCCAGTCTCTTCCACAGTGACTTCCCACCTGCTGCAAGCCAGGGCCTGGGGCTAGGAGTCCAAGTGGGGGCAGAGACCAGTTGGTCCCAAGCCACCTACAGAAGTCCAGCCCGGCAGGAGGGGGTAACACTATGCCCGTTGCTTGTCTAGGGGGTCAGAGCAAGAGTGAAGGGACAGAGAGGGAAGGCAGTGGCCCTGAGTGGGGGACCAGCTCTGTAGAGAAGGAGCTGTAGAGTTGCATTCCTGATGGGCCCACTGAGCTGTGCAAAGCGAGCCCATCTGATGCATTTCGCCCCAATCCCACATTCCTTCCAGCTGCAGGGAGAGAGGTGGGTACGAATTATTTTTATTTTCTGTTTGCCCTCTGTAAAAACAAGAACCCCAATGAATGGCAATGGACACATGAGTCTGTGTTGGGAAGGTCTTGTGATGGCCAGGGACAGAGGAATGGTCTAATTATGGTGTTGTGCTGGTCGCTGCCTCACAGGAAGGTGAGCGTGGCCACCAGCTCCTCAAGAGTTTTTACGGATCAGCTAGAACTCGGGTTGCTAAGGAGTCTTCCAAAAATCTGATGGTTTGGAAAAACCAGTGGTAGTTGAAACCTATCATGCCCAGGATGGATTTTTTCCCTGTGAGCTGAGTTTGCTAGAGGAGCTAAGCACGGATGCCCCTGACACTTCTACCTTTGGTTTGTGATATTGTATCAAGGAGGGTCAGTGACCAAAGTCCCTCAGCCTCTCCTGTGGCTCTGGGCACTGCACCAGGGCAGGCAGATCCCTCCCACCTCTTTGCTTCTGGATGAAATGTGTGTGTTCCTCTGGTGGCGGGGGGGACCTGCTGACCCTACTGTCCCCACCGCAGATTGAGATGGCCATCCTACGATTCCCCTACGAGTCCTGGGGGACCCCGTTCCAGCAGCTGAAGCAAGTGGTGGAGGAGCCGTCCCCCCAGCTCCCCGCTGACCGTTTCTCCCCCGAGTTTGTGGACTTCACTGCCCAGTGGTGAGTCTCTGGCCTGCTGCGCCCAATCCGCATCCCCACCCCCCTGGGAACCAAATCAGGGAAGGCTCCTGGGGAACGTTATAAAAACGAGTCCTGTTCAAGTTTACAAAGGAAATCGGAAAAAAAAGGCAAAGTCACACAGACCATGTTTTCTGACCATGGTTAAATAGAACAAGAAACTAATAATTAAAGAGGAAAAAAAGCTATGCGGCATTTAAGGGTAAATTTGTCTAAGGAATTCTTGGGTTACAAAAGAGATTTAAGCTTGGTGCAGTTGGTGCACACCTGTAATCCCAGTGATGCAGGAGGCTGAGGCAGGAGGATCACAAATTCAAAGCCAGCCTCAGCAATTTAGCAAGACCCTATCTCCAAAGGAAAAAAATAAAAAATAAAAAGGGCGGGGGAATGTTGCTCAGTGGTTAGGCACCCCTGGGTTTAATCCCTGGTATCAAAAACAACAACAACAACAAAAAAACAAACTAAAACAAAAAAACAAAAACAAAAATAAAAACCAAATGAAAACAAACCAAAAAAGATCTTTAAAAATATTTAGAAGTTTAAAAAATGATGAGAACAACAAATGAACATCTGTGTGTTGTGGGCAAAGCTACTCAGAGTAAAATTCATCGTCTTTTTTTTTTTGTTGTTCTTTAATTGGAAAATAGGAAAAACTGAAAACAGATGAGCCCAGCAGATAAGAATCATTAGTTGGCTTGACTCCTTTTTAATTGAGGCCTTTCTTCTCCCAGGAGTCCCCTCTTGTGATTAAGAATACCAAGTATATGATTGATTGTTAGGCAGAGTCTTTTCGGGTTGGGTATCATGGAAATTCCCTGGATTCCTGCAGAGACCCAAACAAAACAAAATCCTAGTTTGCATCCATGGATTCCGCTCTATTTTGGCAGACCCCTTAGATGGTCTTGCCCCTTCTTTCCTGAGCCCCAGGAGCATGCACCCCCTGTTGCCCAATAAGGGCCAGCTGGTCTAGCTAGACTCAGTTCCTCTGTGATGTCCTGGCCTCAACCCTCTTGTCTTCTAGCCTGAGGAAGAACCCCGCGGAGCGCATGAGCTACTTGGAGCTGATGGTGAGTGTGGGTCGAAGGTACCTGCTCTGCTCTTCTTTGGGGCTGGGCAGTTGGCTGGGTGGGGCTGGGGACGGAGCAGCAGCCTGGGCACACGGAGGGGCAGCTCCTCAAAATGGCCCCTGCATCACTCACCCATTCAGTCATGCCTGTCTGGCTTTGCCCCTCCAACTCCCTGCCCGCCCCTGGTGCAGGACAGTGCTGTCACAGAGCCAGCTTCTTGGAGGAGTTGCCATTGGAACTGAACCTGGAAGGAAGGATGAGCGTTCGCTGCAGGGGGAAGGAAGGGTGGAGAGGCCACTCCAAGCAGAGGCAGAGGACTGGCCCATATGGGAAAAAGGCAGACTAGTGTGGGCTGGAGGGCCACCGCAGGAGGGCTGAGGAGGAGCCTTGAGTTCTCTCATGGTCATGGGGGGCTTCCTAGGGGTAGAGGTTCTAGAAGGGTGAGCAGGAGTTTGCAGCACATGGGCTCAGTGGTTTAGGCTCAGTGGTCAGTGGGTTGGGTTCAAGGAGGGGGCAGTTCCCCTAAGGTGACTCTGTCCTCTGTTACCCATCAGGAGCACCCTTTCTTCACCTTGCACAAAACCAAGAAGACAGACATTGCTGCCTTTGTGAAGGAGATCCTGGGAGAAGACTCCTAGCAGGCTGGACCTGGGGACCCGACTCTGGCCTCCAGCACCCCAAAGCCCTCTCTGCTGGGACACTGCTTGCCCACAGCCATAAGCTACTGCCATCCTGGCTCTGGGAGTCCTGGGAGGAATCAAGGGGGCTGCTCCAGACTGGTTCCGCAACCAGCCATTTGTCCCAAGTGCCAAAGAACTAGACGTGTGGGGGCTCCCAGCTGGTCCCATGTGGACCCCACCAGTGCCTCTGCCCCAGCTGCTGTAAGGACCTCAAGTCTCCACCCTGAGCCCCTGGACTTGAAGGGGCCTGGAAATCCCCTGCCAGACGCTGCTCCTCCTCACAAGAGCAGGCAGCCCGTCTGGTCTGTGGACAAGTCTATTGCCTCGGCTCAGCCCTGGATGCCACCCATGTTGTGTATATATATATATTTTTTATCTCTCAACTGAATGGACTTTGCACCCTTTGGCCCATTGGTGGCCACTCCTCCTCTCTCCTGGCCTTAGTGTGGAGGACAGAGTAGGAGGATGAGCCATGTGAATCCTCCAAGACTCCCATGAGGGAGATGCCTTGAGCCACCCGAGGCCTTCACCCCAGCACTGGAAAACAGTCTCGAGGGGCACACTGGTCACCTGGCTCTAGCCTGACACCTCTCGTGGTGTGGGTCCACCTTTCTGTTTTTTTTTTTTAATTTATCCTCTGTGGATGTTTTCTTTTGCTTTGTGGGGTTTGGCTGTTTTTGTTGTTGTTTTTTTTCTTGCATGGTTTGGAGCTGATCACTTCTTTTCCATACTCTAGGTGCCAGCAAGCTAAGACCTGTGCCTTTGCTCAGGATGGAGGCCAGGGACTCTCTGCTCAGAGGGTGCCAGGGGGGAGCTGTCCCCTCACTCTCTTGAAAAGAGTGACTGGCTCCACGGGAGCTATGGATTTGCTTTGGTGTTTTTAAAAAAAGAAAGAAAGAAAATATATATATTTTTGAACAAAGTCCTGCCCATCCTGGGTTCTTCCCCTGATGGGTCAGGTCAGGTACCTGGTTGCTGTTTTAATTAAAAAAAAAAAAAAAAGAGACAAAAATGTGTGAAACTATGTGACAGCCACAGCAAGCCCTACTCTTCCTCCGGGAGGGTCTGGGAAGGAGCCCTTACTCCCGGACAGGGCCAGGACACTGTGATTTAGGGGAGGGGAGGCCTGCTGACCCACTGGGGCCCTACACTTGGCAGGCCCTCTTCCATATGAAGACACACACGCTCCCAGAGTGCTGTGACAAGATACTCCAGTGTGTGACTGTCCAGGTGCCAGACCCCTGCGGGACAGAGCAGTGAACACACAGAGTCAGTCCCTGGTGGAGGCTGCCCGTCCTACTATCATCGAAGCATGTGACAGCCAGAAAGACAGAGAGTGATGAGCACACCTGGACACTGCCCAGGCCTGGACCCGGGTGCCTCATTGGTGATGAAAAAACATGTCCAAAGAGCCACAGTCATTTGCCCAAAGCCACATAACTTGGAGGCTCAGGGACATGTAGCAGGACTGTGGAGAAGGCTCCGAGTGGTGTTGAGACAGCCCAGGGAGGGCCCCCTTGCTGGAGTCCAGTCCAGCTCAGAATCTTGATGCATGGACTGGGGCAGATGGGACTCTATTCCATCAGATTTAAACAGAAGGAAATTTATTTGCTCACCTCATCAGGAATGTGTCAGGCTTCAGGTACGGTTAGATCCAGAAGCTCTGTTAATGTCCTGAAGGACTTGTGTCCACCTGAAGCTCTGTTCTCAGTTTTACACTGCCCTTGTAGGGATAAGTCAGAATCCAGTGGTGCTTCCCAGCTCAGCAAAAGGGCCCAACGCTCCACTGGAAGTCCTAAGGGGTGGATTTTATCCACTGGGAAAGGGTCACACGCTCATCCCCAGGCTAATTATAGGCCCAAAGAGTAGAGTTTATGACTGTTCAGGCACAGATGGGACCTGGAAGAATTAGCCGTCACACTGCCAGATGTGAAGGCTGGGCCTCCATCCACCATTCTTCATCTCTAGCCTGTAGTTCTGGGACAGGACTCTGCCCATTAACCCTTCCCTGGCACTGTACTTAACAGTTTCCAAGACCTTTAGTTTCTGGATCGTTCCATGGTGAACGCTGGTTGTTATCTCAGGGCCTTGAAATTCACCGTGCTGTCTGCCTAGAACATTCCCTCCCCCTGTCTTCTTGTGGCTGGCTTCAAGTCTCCCATGTCAACTCCTCTGGGAGGCCTTCTGGGACCACCCTGACCAAAGGGTGGCCCTCCCTGGTCCAGCCAAGTGAACCAATGACTGCTTTATCTGGGCAGATCTTAACCTGCCACTCTATCCCCTGCGCAAGAAAACTGCCATCTCTAGCTCAGCCTTTGTTGAATGAATTAGAAAAGAATGAATGGAGGGAAGGAGCGAATCAATCCCACAGCCCTGCGTGTGGGGGCGCGCGCGCGGATTGGTCCGCGTGCGGGTGCGTTTGTGCACGCGCGCGCGCGCGTGTGCGAGGGCGTCTGTGCCTGTGCGCGCGTCCTTCCCCGCGTGGTGTGCAGGACCGCTGGAGCCCAGGGGCGTGGCCCCAGTCAACTCTCCTGCAGCCGCCAGGAGGCGGCAGAGCCCGGACTTTGACTGCGTGCCTGTGGAGCTCCGCCCGGGGCTCCCAGCGCCCCCCCAGGTCCTCCTAGAAAGGGCGGGGACTTGGGGACTTGGTGTGGCTGGGCCTGCTGTGCTCAGCTCAGTCTTGGCTTCTGCAGGAGTTAGTGGGTTAGCCCACTGATCTGTCCCCCTGTGCTCCACGAGTGGACGTGGCTCAGAGGCTGATGCAGGGTGACAGAACAGGAAACCTGGCTCACACAGGTTATCATGCATGGTGCAAGCCCCGTGCACCCCGAAGCTCTTATCAGCTTACCAAACTGGGTTTGCAAAGTAATTTACAGTTTGCAACCCCCCCCCCGCCCCCATGGGGTTACAAAGCACTGTTTAGTTTACCAAGTAGGTTACAGTTTGCTAAGCCCTGACTAAATTAGACAGCACTTTGAAGTTTGCAGATTCTTGAACACATTCCTGCCAACACCAGTCTTTTCCAGGTTCTGTTCACATTTATGGTGTCCAGGCATCAGACGTGCAGATCATGTTGGCGTTTACAAAGCACAACCCATGATCTCTTCCTGAAGTGGTGAGAGCCCTGGGGATAGGAACTGCTGGGGACCGTTGGGTGAGGCCAGGTGTCTCCATTTTCCATCAGGCAGCAGGGTGAGGGCAGACACGGCTCCCAGACCTGGGATTAATGTGTCTCTCTGGATTGACAGACAGATGGCACAGGCATGCGGCTTTCTGTTTCAGTTACAGCTATGAGAGCCTCCTCATCAGGCAGCATTAAAATTGCAGTAGACAGGCAGGAGCAGAAGCTGCTTTGGAGGGAAGAGTTGGTGAATTCCCTTCTGGAGGGGAAGGCAAGCAGCCTCTTTGTGAGACATCAGCTCAGTCTCTCCTCCCCTCCGAATGCTGCTGTGGCTCCCACTTTCTCCAGTCGAAGCCTCTAGATGGCCGTCATGCCCCACAGCCGGCCAGTGCTGTGCCTCGTACTGCCTGACTGTCATCCGCATGGGCTCAAATACACCAAGCCTGGACGTGCCCCAGGGCCTTTGAGTTAGCTGTCCTCTCCTTCCAGATGCTTTCTTCAGAGATGGTCTCCCAGATGCCAGCTCCTCAGAGAGCCCTTGGATGACTGTCCAGAGGACTGTCCAGAGCCCGCCCTGTTTTCTTCTTATGTATTTGCATTCTTATTCATTCTTTGCCTCTGGGACTACACTGGGGAGGGGGGATTCTGTCTTTTTCCGCTCTGTGTGTGTATGGCGGGGTAGGGATCGGTAGGATGATAGAGGAAACATGGCAGGCATCAGGAAGTTGGCCCCCAAACCTAAGGTAGAGCCCAGGAAGCAGACTGTGGACTCCTAGAGCCAGATCCTACTAGATCCATGCTAGGTTGGGGCTGAAGCAAAAATGTGGTTCCGTTGATTCTGGGTGGACCCTTCAGGAGTGAGTCAGGCCCCTTCCTTGCACCAATCCACGACTCTGCACTTCAGAAGGGAAGGTGCAGACAGCCGGCACCACACTGTGGGTCTCCTGCCCCTCTTGCAGCCCACCTCTCCTCCTGGGGGTATGGTTCAGGAAAGGCCTCTGCTACTCACCTGGCAGCCACAGAACTCAACACCACAGTACCGGAAACCAGTGGAAATCCCTCTTCCCTTCAGTTCTTTAAACCTGTCTGGAGCCTTATATGGTGGCTTATGCCTGTCGTCTCTCAAGAGGTTGCACCTGGAATATTGCAATTTCCAGGCCAGCAAGAAAGACCCTGTCTCAAAAAAAAAAAAAAAATAGGAAGGACTGGGATGTAGTTCAGTGGTAGAGGAGGCCTCTGGGTTCAATCTGCAGCACCAACACATAAATAAATAAACCCATTTGGGTAACTCTGTCCCAGGGATGGGGCCAGCACGTGGCTCCCTATAAAGGCTTTATCTCAGTCTGTTTTCTTGGATCCTTCATAGGAAGCTGTGGCTGGGCCTAAGAGGCTCCTGATTCCCAGCAAGGATCTAAAAGCATCTGCCCAAGCCTCCATCGGATGCCTGCATCCCTCTCCAGCCACACCCCTGCCAAGACCTGCCAGCTTGGGCTTACATACCTCCCCCAATGGGGAGCTCACTCCTACACAGACAGACAAGCTTCCCGGAGGGATCTGAGATCCCTCTTCTTGTCCTATTCTCTTTCTGAGGAGGCCTGTGATGGGAGGGCCCCCGTGTGTACACTCTGGCGCACTCTAAATGCTCATTTCCCTGCCTCTTGTGAAAGCGGTTGCAAATCCTTTTGGAAAACAGGTGGGAGGGCCTATATATACACCAGCTGTACTGTGTTTATCTGAGAGTGCTAATCTTTGTGCCCGGGGCATCCCGGTTCGCTGGAGGTTATGAAGTCTCCGTGAGACTCTGGCCCTGTTTGGAGGCCATCCAGAAGGTGGGCAGAGTCAGGCAGAGCCTGGAAACCCAGATATCCTGCCCCTGGTCAGAGCTCTGCCCCACCCTGAGTGGGACACCTGCCAAGCCATCTTTAGTGGCAGCCACCCCCCTGTGGTATCACAGAAAACCGTGGGTGGCTCTGTTTCTCAGACTTGTGGGGGACTTGTGTTGGGTGAGGCTTGGGGAGGTAGCAGCAGCTCCTGGGAGCAGCAATCTCTGGTTGGGGATGCGAGAGTTGCTCTGTGCATCAAGAAAGTTCTTCCGTTTGCCTAGCTTCTAAACCTTCCGTGGCTGCTGACAGCTCATGGCACCTAGCAGAGAAGAGGCCCAGAATGACTTCTCTACAGCAGAATCAGGTCTGGATTGTTCTCAGCAGGGCTTGGCAGATGGTAGGAGTTACCTGAGCATCTGCTATGCACCAGGCAGTATTGTAGACCTGGAGCTACAGAGAGGGACGATGACAGACCTGGGCCTGCCCTCTGCATGCTGCGTGAGGACATCAGACACGGGTCGAAGCAAACTCACAGATGCTTAAAGCAGCCTTCCCTACCATTTCTTTTCTTTTAAACTTGTGAACTTTTTCTCATGATGGCTCCCTAGGGAGAAACATCAAATTAAATTAAAATTAATTAATTAAACAATTCAAACAAATTAAGCTTAGTTACAATTAGGTGATTCAATTCGATTGCTTAATTAAATGATTTATATTTGAATTTAAAAGTTCCCAAGGTGGGAGGGACCTTGGTAGCATTGGAGAGGATGCCGGGTTGGAGGGCAGGTTACGTGGGAAGTTGCCGGTGGCTTTTAAGCAGGGGACAGACATGATCTGATTTATATGGGAAAAAAAAAAGAAAAAAGAATGACAAGGTATTCTGCTGCAATGTCTCCATCTCTGCCAGGGGACACATATTTTGGCCTTCAGTGGCCTGCTCTGTGTCCCCTTACATGAAGATTTGTCACCCCCAGCTCAGACATCCCTGAATTGTACTTTCTCGCTGTAACTTGTGTGACATTG